GTCAACCAGCAACAGTCGGTCAAAAGGTTTTTGAGATGTCGGCCTGCAACCTAACCATCATCATCCACTGCAACCTGGTATATTAGTGGGCTTGGTTATACCGTTCTCTATCCCCCAAGTCATGTCTCTGTGTACTTCGTCACCGCACGTCCCGGCCCTGCCCGGTGGCCTCAGGCCGTGTGACGTTGTTGGACTTCGAGGAGCATTTCCGAAAGCGGCGCCTTTGGTTCTTCGCATGGCCGAAGGATCCCAAAAAGAGAGGTTGTTCTTTGTTCGGGACCGGTGATGCTTTTTCACAAGTATTTTGGTAGATCATTAGAACAGATCCTTTTGTCCGTTTTTGCATTCGTTTTTGACTGGTATTCTATGGTGATGCACCATTGTCTTCAGCACGGTGAGATCTCCATATTTGGGGCAGACAGACCTTGGACCCCCTGTGGTCGCTCGTGGGTCGTTGGAAGCACTGGTCAGTTCATGCTGATTTGTGGAGAATATCTCTTGGCCACGACGCAGAGGTAGTAAAGAAACATGAACTCTGCGAAGCCTGCCATGCTGACAGCGCAAGCCGAGGCGACCATCGCTGACGATGAGCCGCAGTAAAGCTGCGGTGCAGAAGCTTGGCAGATGGGTGCGGGGTGATTTGTTGGTTGATGTGTGTTTCAGACTTGATTCTCTGGGGAATCTCGGAAAGAACCTGTCTTGTTGAAATCAAATGCCAAAGAAGCTAGCAGATCTGGCAGAGGGAGATCAGCTGATCAACACTGGACTTCTATGCCATTCAGGGAACAACCCACTATGGTTGTTTTTGCAAGGGACGAAAACACCGCCTGCATCTCTCTTCTACCCGCGCAAAGTTTCTGGGAATACTCGCTTGACGCTCCAACGGCACCTGAATCTATCCGACCTATCCCTTGGCCTAGGGCCACAGAAATAGCGTGAGTGTACTACAGGGAGAACAGGATAACGAACACAAAACAGCAAAGAACACGCCAAACATGTGTGAACTATGCATTGAATTATTGCAATCCCGCAATTGCTTGGAGTATATCAAAGACACTTAAACTACAAATTAGATTTGACATGATTTGACTGCGTCAATGCGGAATCCAACTAATCTGGGAAAGGGTTAGGGCCCGGTGAGTGTGAAATACCCTTGGAATCATAGGGGACCTGTTGGTCTTTAACTTTTGCAGGGGGACACGCCCATCGTGGATACATGTGTCAACGAAGCTATTCCACGATGGGTGAAGCGGAGATTAATCACCTCCGTGTACCTGCAGATGGTTGTGGCGTTTGGTAACTACATCCTTCTCTAAGATTCCTGGCTGTTAGGTGAGACTTTCAGGTCGACAGACATACACTCGCCGCTCGACCCTGCCGATTTCGTCGTCTTTCAAGTCCTTATGGCCTGACCGCTCAGCACTAGACTGGCAGGTGGTGTGTCCGGCTTCATGCCAGCCCGGAGTGAGCCTGAAGAGTGCCCTCCGTGGCCCTGTCGAACGGGGGTTTGTCTATGTCCCTGCGCCCGCGGGACCAGAGCAGCTCGCAGCGAGCGTAGGAGGCTTATGCCAAACGTTGATTAAGGCTTGACGGCTCTGATCAACCTTGAGTAGGCAGCTGTTTTGGCAAGCCACAAGGAGTCCGCAGCGGACGGCCATTATTTTGGCACGGCCAGCGCAGACCGCAGCGGTCGTAGTTCTTTCAAGATCCATTGGGATCTGTCGGAGCCTGATGTGCACACACAGCATGCACCCACAAGAGTTATACCAGCATAGACCCCAAGCAGCTTCAAAACGATTCGTTTGGACCAATACTAGTCAAAAACGATTTCTTGGTACGCCCTACCTTCCCCCAAGAGCAAATTGCTTTGTCAATGACTTTTGTCGGCATCGACATTGCTAATTGTTCGGCCACAAGAGAAGACAAGAGAAGAGCAGGACAAGAGAAGACAAGACCCACAGAGCCTGGCCACAGAGCTCAGGGGCGGCCAGTCAGCGTGGCCAGC